AGGATCCGCACGAATTCGCGCACCGTCANCCCTTTTCCGATCGCCACGAGCGCGCGCTCGATCTTGCCATTGAGCTGCACGTCATCCATCCCGCGCAGCTTATTCAGCACGCGAATCAGAAAGACGACGGACGGGAAACGCTCGGTGAAGGGCCGCGCCGCCGGGGTGCGTTTCAGGTAATTCATCCGATCAAAAAGCCCCTCCAGGAGCTCCGCCGAGAGCCCCCAATAGCGTTGATACACCGGCCGAAAGAGGGCGAGGAGTTGATGCGAAAGCAACCCATCCAAGACCCGCGCGCCCTCCGCGGACTCCACCACGTACGGCGAGAGCCCCCGGCGGAGCAGCAGCGCGAGCTCCGCGATCGTCGCGGCCGCCACAGCCTCCGGCGCCTCCCCGACGTTCGCGAGCACGAGATCCACAAAACGCGGGAGCGCCTTCAGGAAAAACAGCGGATTCGCGCTCAAGGGGTAGAGCCCGGTGTGGGGATCCCGCCGCGGCGGCGCCCCGTCCAACGCCGCACGCTCGAGCAGTTTGCGGAAACTCGCGAGGTACAACCGCATCGCGTCGATGTGAAGCCGGCTCGGCTCGAGCGCGGTGAAGCGCGCGAGGACCTCCCCATCCGGCGCCTCCAGGTTGAGGAGGAACGCCTGGGCGAGTTTGATCGCCTTGGCGGCGATCAGGTGATCCCCCGCGGCGTACTCCGCGAGGATTTGCCCACACAACCCAAAAAGCGCCCCCGCCTGATGCCGAAGAAACCCTTGCGAAAGGTGTGGTAGGCAACTCGCGAGGATGGAAAGGAGATAGGGCACTTGATGCCGCTCCGCCGACCTCGACAGCGCCGTGAGGGCGGCCATGAACAGCGATAACGGGGTGAGCGCCTCACCCAACCCCTCGATCGCGGCAGTCAGCCCGTCCTGAACAGCACGCAGGGTGAGGCGGTCGAACGGACGCTTGGCTTTTTTGTTTCGCCGGTGCTGGATTTCCTCGATTTTGGCCTTTTTCATCGCCATCTTCGTCTCCTCGAGGGCCTTCTGCTTCTTCGACCACACCAGACGCTTCGCCTCCATGATTTGGCGACGGCTCAGGTTGGCCCCCTTGGGGCGGCGCATCTTCACGGAGGAAGTCCCTCTTCCACGATTCGTCTTTGACGTCCCCATCCCGCCTGAACTTTGCTATACTTTGCTATTCACGACCTACGAATAAACCAAGTTTTGAGCCTTGAACAACGAAACAAAAACAGAGAATGTTATAAACAAGGAAACCAATTGTAAAGGAGCTCCGCTAAGACGGCATCTTGGTCAACTCATCTATCCATACAGGGGTTGGCCTATACTCGGGAGGGAGGGAGGAGGGGGGGGGGGGGGAGAAAGACGCTTGTGGAGAGAGCCCTGTATAGGTCCCCTTTCATTGGGTTACCTTCTTTTTCCTTATACTTCATATGGCACCTATTTTTGCATTCACTTTAGCAGAGCCACGTTTAGCTAAATAAGAGATCATACATATAGAAAGTGGAAAGGCACCCCCCACACAAAAAAAAAATAAAACAAAAGATGGAACACGGAACGATAAACTTACTTTAAGCACAAAGCAAGGGGAAAAAAGTAGCCCGCGATTAAGCGCTCCGTTGACGTCCGCCGTATTAGATTTTCGCCGCGCCAAACTTCCCATTGGTGGACTCGTCCACCAGCACAATATCCTCCGACCCATACACCAAGCGCTCAACCAAATATTCCACGTAAGGAGCAAGGCCCTCGCCCTGGTAGGAAACGAGTGGGGAAACCTCCACCCAACGCTTCCCCTCCCGGAGTATCCCCAAAGCCCGCTCGAGCTCCTCTGGGGTGATGACGCGCCCCTTTCCCCCTCCTTCTCCTCCCAATGCGGTGCGATCCACCCCGGAAAGCAGCTCTTCCACCCAACGCGTGTGAAGTTTCAACAAAAGTCGGGCGGCCGTCGTGGGGGTGTCCGTCGTGGCGGCATCCGAATTTTTAATCGGCGCGAACTCCCCGCCGCGGTCGACCTGCATCACCCGGAAGCCATCCTCGCCGGGAGGGTTTCCCTCCTCCGCCGCCGCTTTCCTCGTCTCCTTTGCCGCCTCCACCGCCCTAGATGCCTTGCAATAGCGAAACATATCAAAAATAAAAGCCTCGAGTTTGACGCCCATCACCGGGCCGTTCCTCGTGGGGATTCGCTTCCGTGCGGCGTGGTAGAGCACCGACGAGGCCGCCCGCTCCGACGCGTAGGCGAGGAAGGCGAGCGAGCACACATGGCAGGCGATATTCGCGCAGGAAAAGCGCAACTCCCCAGTGTGAGGCTCCCGCGCGATCGCGCGCGCCTCGCCGAGCTCGGTGTACTCAACCACCCCCCATTCGCCGTTCACCCTCGCGAAAACCCCCACCCGCTCCTCCGGAGAGGTCTTCGGCGTCGTCTTCACCACCACCTGGGCGTTGGTGTCGATCGCGTAGCCGTAAAAAAGCGGATCCGCCACCTTCGCGAGAAGGTTATCCACGCTGAATATTTGAACATACCGCACCCCAACGCGGCGTAGTCGATCCAGAACACTTTCGTCGGACCCCGCGGGATCCGTTCGTGGCGTTTCCGGAAATCGTCCCCCATCCCCCGCATGGGGAGGCAAGGGTGCGCGGGAGAGGCTCGAATAGACGCCGCCGTTACCCCCTGGTGAAACGCACATCTGGAAGGGCGACGCCATCAGAATCCGCCCACTCGCCGCATCGTAGCAGGGGAGCATGCCTTGCACAAAAAAAATCACCTGCGTCGCCTTTAATCCAAACCAGTCGTTCTCGGCGAAAAATCGCCGCGTCGCCTCAGCGTTTTCCTCGGAAATCATAATCAGCACCGGAATGACGGGCTCCCCGGTCGCGGCGCCGCGCTTTTCTTCCGACGCCTCCGTTTCCTCTATAGGGGCCTTCGCGCGGGGAAGAGCCCCTTCCACGCACAGCCGCTGCACGCGCAGGACCTTCTCACAATGAAACTGGAAGAGCGACTTCTTCTCGCGGAGTAATTCACAGGTGAAAAGTCCTTTTGGGGTGGAAATTCCAAGCCGCGTACCGCTCCCGCCGGCGAGGAGGAGGACCGCCACCTGCCCTTTCGCGATGGCGTCAAAGCCAAGGCGTGTTAGACGGGAAATCGCCTCCGGATTTGCCCGTTTCACCGCGGCGACGTTGAACAAACTCTCGCGAGAGGGAGGCTCCACGGTGCTCGGCTGCCCTCCCATTCCCTTAGTCGTATCGCCGCCATCCAACGCGGCCAAACTCTCCCGCAACGCGACGTTTAAAAGGCTGAAGTCGAGCCCCGAATGGGCGATCTGGTGGCTGAGTACGGACTTCTCCTCCTCCGTGAGGGTATCATAGTCGTCGAGGAGATGCTCCTGCCCCGTACCTTGGAGCAACTGTAATAAGAGGGACTTATCCATGTGCAATGGGCATCGACAGGGTTCTTTTTTTTGTTTTTTTGTTTGTTTTTCCTCCCTCACTACGCTTGCTCTTGGTCGCTAGATGTTGACTAGACTAACTGCATGAAGTTGATTTTCCAACACGCATACAAAAAAAATGTTGAAGAGGCGACGTGGGAGAGCATTTCTAGACAGCAAATTTACGATTCATTCGTATGGCACTCCAAAGGTGTGGCCGGTTGCTTTTTATTTTTGTTTAAGGGGCGAAAAGCATCACAAGAGCATCTCTCTCTCTCTGTCTTTCACACACACACACACACACACAACAACAAAAAAGTCAAGGGTTCCCATCCATTCACGTCGTGGATGGTGGCGCCATCCATCGCGCGTAGTCGTCGAAGCGCGCATCCGTGGTGAACCCGTTTTCCTCCCACAACCGCCCCTCAAACGGGCAAAACGGTCCGAGACGACGGAGGATTCGTTTCACCCCATCCTCGACTTCGCCGGTGGCGAGGCCGCGTTGGAGCTCCGCGCGGATGAAATCATCCAACATCGCGGCGGCCACCTGCACCTTCTGATGATGCACCCGGCGAAGCTCCGTGAGGTGGAAATCCAACGCCTGCCGATGCAGCGCGGCGGCGAGTTGGTGAAGCCGGCGTTGGAGCTCCCGCGTGGTCGCCGTCGGCGCCGCGCCGTCGGGTTTCCCGTCGGCCGCCTCGTCGAGGGCGCGAAGAACCCCATGGA